ACGGATCCAGTAAACATGTGGTTGCATTCAGCCTCCCCAGGATCCTGTCCACGTCCTCGGGAGCCACAGAGTCAAACTCCTCCCATACAACAGTCTCAAGACCTGCTCCCGTCTCCTCCCCCGGGGCCACCCAGTCAGAGTCAAGGCCTTCTCGGATCCGAGCGACTTTGTCATACAGATATTGCGCAAAGTCCTCGGCTTACCAGTTACCAGTGAAAGGTGACCTAAAGAGGTTGACTTCTGAGAGTCCTTTTGTTGTTGGCCCAGGCTTCTTGTCCTCATGAATGTTTGGAATGTAACAGAAGAAGAACAACTTATTTTTGCTGTATCTTATTAACAGACATTATGTTTTAGGAACATGGAGAAAGAACAAAGTTTTGTAGTAACAGATATGGAAGGATGGATAGACTGGTGACCAGTCTCTCTTCAGGTTGTAGTCTAATCAAGGAAATCCAGATGACTATCAAGGTGGACCCTTCACCCTTAAGCTTCTGCTTTTTAATGCTACACCAGTTGCTGGTAAAACATTTATTAACCAGGATTTAATTCTGAGTAAATACTTGACTTAGTATATATTTTAAGACAAGAGAGGAAAGTTACTGTTTCTCCGTTCTACCCTCTGTGTTCTACTGTGTGATGCAGCAGGCTAGGGTCAGAAGGTGCTGAAATGGTGGCTATGATCTATGAGAATTCATCTCACTGACCAGAAGCTCCAACCGACAGTCTTCTAATTTTGAATATTTGCCTCAGTGTTTAGGCAGCTACAAGAATGGAGTAATACTGTTAAAATAGTCACCCCATTGCATAATAATCTGTCATTCTGAGCTAATTGTGATTATTGCTGGTGTGTCAATTCAATATTCTGAATTTCTTGTCTTGATGGATTTCAGGCCCTGTAATAGGCAGAAGGAATAATCTTAAAGAACAGGAGGAAGAGCCACTACTGGTCCAATAAAAGAAATATGAGTCAGGGCCAGAACTGTAATCTGAGAAAACACCTCAGAAGACCATCTTTAAAGAGAGGGAACACATTCAGACTGGCAAGAGTCTGTTTATTATATTTTTATAACAAAAGTAGTGTTAGCCTGCATGACTTTGGTTCCCTAGTCTGAAAGTCCGACATCAATCTTACATCATCTCATCTCCAGTCCTATACAAAATGAAGTTTATATCCTGTTCACCTGATAGTGATCTGAAAGTAAGCTTTCCAATGTCACAAAAATCACTCCCTGGCGAGTCTTAGATTGGCACCCAACTCAGAAAACAAATGGATAGTTTTCTGAACATGTTTGCCAGTCAGGAGTCCTGTTGAATCCCTGGCTACTCTATTGAACATCATTTCAAGCCATCACTAAGCATCCTCTTCCATTTAGCAGAGCTCAATTGGCACTAGGAAGCTGGGAGCAAAGAAGCAATGAACTATAGTGATGCAGTATGAATGGAGGAATGTCTGGGTTGAATCAGATCAAATGTAGCTTGGGGCTCCTTCAGGCACAATTGTAATTCTACTTCATGGGACAGGGTGCAGTGAAAAGGGCTCCCTTCTTTCATTCCATTGCATCCGCACAAAAAAGTCCAACCCTATGGCACCCCCTTCATCAAAATGCTAGGGGAAGGAGAATTGAAACAGTTGGGGATTTTGTTGTGAGAATATTTTATCATTCTTTGCATAGTTGATCAATCTCATCTCGGCTTGGACTTCAGTCTTATGTGGGTGCTACCTGCTTGCTTGATATGATGGTTCCCACCCACCCCAACAAAAAAGCCATAAAAGCATTAAAAGATTGTCCAGGCATGGTGATAAATCCACGCTATGATTCCAATAAGGCAAATTCCTAAGGAAACTGAGAAGAACTGAAACACTGGAGCGAAACAAACATTCTTGAATCGATACTGAACAGGCCTAGCAAAAAGATTCAGAATGAACTCACCTCTCGTACTTCTTGTTCTGGTGCTAACACTTTACTGAGAAGTTTGAGATCAATCTCTCCATCCTATAAAAACACATTAAAATCATATCTGCTCCAAGAGCAAATAGTAGCAACACCTGCATTTTTTCCACAATAGCAAGACAGTCCTATTCCTTCTCTGAAAAGCACATACACCTAGAATGGGAGCAAAGCAGACCAAAGGCACTAACATCTCACTCAGAAAATCCTTTCAAAAGCAATCAGAACATACAAACATTTGGAGAATTGTTTTCTTCTTGGGCGAGGCTCTCTGATGAGTACAGTAATTTCCAAAATTCAATGTCTAGTCTTGTCTCCCAAGTTTATTAAATCTTTCAAGGTTTAATAAACTAAACCTTGAAAGACATTCTGTCAAATGAATTATATAACTAAGGACTGTCCAAAGATGATTAAAAGGAACATCAAATATGTTGCATAGACAATAAGAAAATAAATTCACTAGATATTTACCGTATTTTCCGGCATATAAGATGACTTTCTAAACCCTGAAAATCTTCTCAAAAGTCGGGGGTCGTCTTATACGCCCAGTTGTCTTATACGCCGGAAAATACGGGTATTCTATTTTATTCCTTTACACATGTGGTTTGGCATATTACTCATCAAGTTTTCTCTCCCCCCCCCTCTCTCGCTCAAACTCTATATTTTAACTGGTTAAAGTTGGGGGTTGTCTTATACACCCAGTCGTCTTATACGCCGGAAAATACGGTATTTAGGTTTCCAAGACCAAGGGCTCGATCAAAACAATAGATAAAATATACATATGTTACATTAGAATAAAAAGGAACACATCGAAGCAGTGGTGAGATTCAGCCAGTTCGCACCACTTCGGCAGAACCGGTAGCTAATTTTTTTTTGCCCAGGCCCAGAATGGACTTCTGGAAGCGGCATCCACACAGAGAACCGGTTGTTCACATATTTGAATCCCACCACTGCGTAGAAGGTAATAAATGTCAACTTTTAGTATCAACAGAAAAGTCTTGCTGCTACCTTCTTCCTGGAAGAAATATAAATAAATCTGAGTTTCCATCTGACTGCACTCACCAAGGTTTGGAATGCAGCATACTTCATGAGATCATTGTCCAAATCACGGTAGGTCAGCACTCTATTCACCTGAACACTGGTTGGGGTTAGAGCAGAAATGAAATTAGAATTCTCCATCCTTCACTAGAGTCTAAATTATGGAGCTGATCCTAATAAAAAAAGTCTTTTATTAGCTTTACTCAACAACTACAGTAGCTACTTCCTCCCTTCAGAAGAACTCATTTGCCATTATTATAACACATGATACAACATTCAGCCATGTGGGGCAGAAGTTGATCCCAACAAGACAACTAACTAGCAGAACCAATTCTGGGGTTATTATACCTAGGGGGGGCTGCCACTTGCATGGCAAAGTCCTCCTCTTGTACTTCCTCCAAGTCAGGGATCACTGGTATATCTGCAAGAGATAAAAGATAAGTAAGAAAGAATTACTACAGATTTGCAGAGTTTATTTTGGGAGAGAGACCATAGTTCATTGATAGAACATAGGCTTTGCAATCTGAAATTGTTCAATACTTGGCGTCTCAAAAGAAAAACATCAGATGATGGGGAAAACCTCTGCTTGGAAGAGATTCTATCAACTGGACCAGACTATTCTGGATCAGATGAACAAATAGTTTACCTCAAGGCAAGTACAGGGTGTGTGTGTGTGTGTGTGTGTGTGTGTGTGTGTGTGTGTGTGTGTGTGCATGCGCGCACGCACGCTCACACACACATATATATACATACAATGATATAAAATCCTCGAACTCTAGGAAGAATATAAAGCAGCTGTTTATTGTTAAAAAATAAAACAATAAAAAACAATTATTTACAATACTAAAAACAACCTTAGCTTTCACTGGTCCACTGCCAGCGTCATCAAAGTGAGTGTTGGGGGTGGAAAGTTTTCTTATAAACTTTGCTAACTCAGTTTTTTTCCCATTGATCATGTGATAGGGCCGTCCGTCCTAACCGACCGTAATTGCCTCAGTTGTCCCGCCTCCCCTCGTTTGCATTCCAGTTTCACAGCTTTATAAGAAAACTCTCCACCCCCAACACTCACTCTGATGATGCTGGCAGTGGACCAGCGAAAGCTAAGGTTGTTTTTAGTATTGTAAATAGTTGTTTTTTATTGTTTTATTTTTTAACAATAAACAGCTGGTTTATATCCTTCCCAGAGTTTGAGGATTTTATATCATTGTATAGATATGCCTGGGATTCGTATTTTTATAGTTATTAGGGAGATACACACACACACAGAGACAGACATATACATTATACACATACATATACATTATATACACACACATACATATATGTGTGTGTAGAAATTTTGTTTCTGCAAATACACACACACACACACACACACACATATGTAGAAATTTTGTTTCTGCACAAAAAATAACTTAATGCAGGTATATGGAATCTGCAGATACTGTGATGCTGTACTACAATTCCAAATATCCTTCATCGTAGCTATGATGGCTGCTGACATTAGGACATAAGTTATCAGCATCTTTAGGGACACGTAATCCTTGCCCCTATCCTAACAATAGTTGTAACCTATGTGACAACTAACATAATCCTCTTCCTTTTTCTGGTTTAACTGTTTAAGGAGACAGATATAAGCTTTCTAAGAAAACTAAGTATATTCTAGCATCAGGCTAGAAACCAGAAGTTCTACTCCCACCTTAGGCATGAAAGTCAACTGAGCCAGTCACTCGCTCAGCTCACCTCACCGGATTGATATTGTGGGGAAAATAGGAGGAAGGAGTATTATATATGTTTGTTGCCTTGTGTTATTTATAAAAATAGTACAGTGGAATGAAAAAGTTAAATAAATAAATATTCTAACAGATAAAAGCAAAAGAAAAATAGTTGGATGTTTGAATGGAAGAATAATCTTTATTTATTTTGTACAAAGACATCCACATGCTTATTCATAGAAACACAGGCTCCATTTACATTCTAGTACAATGGAATCTTCCTCAATCACAACATGCCTATTTCAATAAGCTAACCCTTGAATAGTTTGGTGCTAAAGTCCTCATGCTTAAGCATTGGGCATCATTGTTCTCTGAGCTGTCTTGATCCCATTCTGAAATTTATTCTAGTGTCCCAGATTAGGTAGATGGCTAGGGAACAGGCAGGCTCAGCTGAAATTTTGACTGTTAATTTAAAAAATATTTTTTTAATCTGTACATTGCTGAGGATTGCTTTGTGGGTGGCCTACTAGTGTGATTAATAAATAATGAATAAATCATTTACACACCATCTTAACTAAGGATGGTATCTTAGGATTGCAAAACTCATTTCAGATTTTGTCTGTAATTGCTTTTGCATCAAGCCATTTGGTTGTTTAAGTGCTGCCTTGTCTGAAACCTTGTCTGAAATTAACATTCAAGAGCAGGAAAAATGCCCATCCTATGAAGTCTAGTACCCATGTCCAGGTCTTTTTCAAACTCCCCCATCACAGTTCCAAATGCACAAGCCACATCGCCTCCTCCACATTCCTCTGACCTTGATGGAAGCAGGACTGGTCCATCTGCAGTAGGGCAAGGGTTAGTGTGGACTTTTGACAAGGGTAGTATTTGGAGCAACCCACACAGTGGGATTTCTCTCTAATTGGATGCCTGGTGAAGGGGCTGAATGAGAGAGAGGCTGAAAACAGAGCCAAACCAAAGCAAGAGACAGTGACAGCTTGGACAGTCTCAGCAGAATTATGCCTTCCAGCTCCTCAACTATCCAAGGACTTGCTGCCTAAAGCGGAGAGGTTTTTAGCTCATAGCTAAATGAATAAATGGAGCTGTTGAGATTTCTTCTTTACCAAATCCATGCCATAGTGATAAAGTATGCGCAGTCACAGAATTGAAGTTTACAAGACTGCATTTTGCTCATCAATGTAACAACTGCAGCCTCCAGCTGCATGTAGACCAACAGGTTGAGTGCATTCTACAAATGACTCCACAGCCATCCCTTGCCTCCTACTTCCACTTTCCACTGTATTTTTAATGGCACTCTGCTATATTTCACATTACCACATCACTTTCTGTTCCTCGTATCTTTCTAATAACATTCAGCAGCAGGAGAAATTTGATATGGCAGCACAATATCAAAAGAGCTACATTTTCTGAGCAACACACTTCATTAAAAGGCACAAGCTTTCATGAACTATAGCTCACTCTACCAGATAGCACAGAATGACTAGAGTGAAGTAGGATTTAAACTGAGATTGGGGGAAAAGTGAGGAAAGACAGGATAATTATGCACTTACAGATTACTGTACATGTGTGGCAGATTACAAGTACCATATCAAACAACAATTTTAATGTGTTTGTTAAACCTTCTCAGATAGTCTGAACCCTTTTGATGTACACTCTCTTACTCAATCGTGTTGATGACGTTTCTTTGTTGCAGAATTTTGAAATCTGCAATGGAGTGTCCTGAATGATTAAAATGTTTCAGTTTTACTTTGTCCTTTTTGTGAGTTCTGATGTCAAGCTCGCATCCATTAATTATTTTGTGCAAAGTGTGGCCTGTTTGTCCTACATAGATCCCAGTAGGGCATTGCTGGCAGAAAATAGGATAGATCAATTAGAGAAACAGCACGTGAAGACACATCTAATCTTGTGTGCAAAATTGTTGGGACTTGTAATGGTGCTGTTGATACAAAAAGTTGGTACAAAAAGATGGTGCTGGTAATAGACATCTGTTTTGTTGCAGGCTCTAATTCTCATGTTACCATTATTTTCATGTTTCTACAGACCATCTGGGAGAATCTACTTCATGTAGGATGGTTGACTGTAGGATGGTTGACTGCCACCCAGCCCTGAGAAAGTGCAGTGCCGTTGTTCAATATGAGCTGTAAGTTATTAATAACATATCTGAGTTGCTTGAGTTTTGCTATATAGGAAACAACCAATGGTGTTCTGCTGTTTTACTTTTCTGGTCCCTCTTTTAATAGGTCTTCCCTGAGGACTGATCTGAATTACTCTTCTTCTCTTTCCTCTATTTTGCAACATCAATCTATCTCTTCCAGTCTTCTTTTTGTTCCGAAAATTCAATGTAGTGTCCTCTACCTCAACTGTCTCTTTTTGCATTTCTATCTGAAACTAAACCCATTTTAGCTTATTCTCAGCTTGCTGTTTCTCAGCCTTGATCATCAATATTGTTCTTTTGCTTTCTTTCTTTGGCTTGCCCCTTTCCAACCTTTTTTTTTAAACAAAAAACTATTTTCAGACCCGAGAACATCTCGATATCTGCTCCTCAGTGTTGATTTAGCTCCCTCTACTGGGCTTGGAATGAATTATAAATGGAGAATAAAGTACTATATTTTGCCATAAGAACACGACGTTTTTTTCCCTTGAATGGGGAGGAAGAGATTATCTTACAATAACTAAGGATATTGTTGTTTAAAAATAAACCAATGTGAGGAAGGTAAGTATACATGCCTCTGAAGATTAATTACAGCTAAACTGGATTACTTGCCTGCTGATTTTATTGGATATAATTGGAGAACCTTATTTTATAGACAACGAATTTTAATCAATAGTTATTAATATAATTTATATTGATTCATTTTTTGTTATAGCCCTGCCTTTTTTGGAATGTGGCTTATGATGTGCATAAATACAAGTAAGCACATGTATACACAAGTACAACATATGCACTGATACATTTTTATGAAGAAGAAATTCTCCAGGACATTTTTACCTGGGAGGATAGGATGGGTAAACTAGTTATGATAAAACACCACAACTGTGATGTTTCTTGTCAACTGCAGCAAAAAAGATCATAAAATCAGTTGGTCACGTGGGTGACCTGCTTTATGACCATCATGATTTACAACCTTAATGGGCAGGTTCAATTACAGTTGTCAGTTGAGGACTATCTGTATACAGGTCTTGAATAAGTCACATACATTGTGTTTAAAAGCCAGAGAAACTGGGTTTTTGAATGCCTTTAAGAGACTCTGGGTGTCCAAAAATGCTGGATTAGAGCTGCAATGCCTGCACATGCTAGGAACCAGAAATTAAAACTAATAAACTCAGCAGCTATTAAAGCAAATAGACAAAATTCACAGACCACAGGGCAACTTCTAATTTAAGTAATGAATTGAGGTCAATTCATACAACTCATTTAATGTTGCAAGGCCTGCTGTGAGCACTGAATACAGCGATGGCTATCCAACTGCTTCACCACAGGACTGAGACTGCCAGTCGGTCAATTTATCATGTACTGGTTATTCTAAAAGTAGAATGGTTATCCTAAATTAGTGGAATGAGTCCTCTGCAACAAATCAAGAAACACAAAACATGAAAATGAAAAAAAAAATCAAGAATAAAAAATAATCATGTTTACGTACAAAATATTAACAGCTCGATATTATTATTTGGAGGTTTTTACAACTTTTTG